TCTTGTCCTCTCACTGGGCACCACTGAGAAGTTGTCTGGCTCCATCTTCTTTATTCTCTCCCATCAGATTTTTACAAACATCGATAAAATCTCCTTACCACTACCGTCCCACCATCTCTTCTTGAGGCTGGACTGAGTCCTAACTTTTTCAGCCTGTCCTTGTCTGTCAGATGCTCTGGCCCCTTAATCAGTTTCTCTGCCCTTCACCAGACGAGCTGCAATATTCCCACGTCTCTCTGCACTGGGCATCCCAGAACACAATCACAATACTCCAGATGTAGTCTCACTAGTGATGGCTAGAGGGAATCGCCTCTCTTCACCTGCTGGCAACGTTGTACTTTTACATACATATAAACACTGTACTTGCTTTTCCTATACAGAGGTTAAAAATAAATGATAGATATGTTTACTGTATGCTTTTTTTTCTGTCTACATTACATATTACATTTTCCAAAGTAAACTGTGTGCAGTTATATTGAAAATTATTACAACAGTATGGTGAAAGGACAATAAATAAATAAATAAAGAACTGCCATGGTGAGCTAGGCTTTTCCATACCTCCTGTTTCTGGTGTCTATCACTCAAAAATTGCTTGAGATACCAATCACAGTTTTCTCGTAGTAATCCTCGGAGTCCCAAGGCTGGCGTTGCCAAAGCTTCATATAATGCTAATGCATTTCCTTGTTCCAAAGCTAGACCGATCTTTGATATAGCTGAATATGCTAGTAATAAAGTAAAGCAGAGTTTTTAGGAAAACATTAAATGAGGAAATCCCATGATTTATATAACCTAATGCTTAGAAATAAATATGCTTAGACCTGATGGTTGACAATTTAGATATGGAACCTGAATAGAAGGCTTCCAAAGTCATTTGCGAAGTAGCACTATAATGAGTAGTTGAAGAATAGAAATAATCCATATTACTCAAGGAAAAAAAAATTATTGAAAAAAATCATTCAATTCCCCAAAGGTTGGGCAGCAGAAGTCAAAATGAATTGAGCTTATAAATGTGTACTAATAACACATAAAATAAAAAGAATGGAAAAATTGCCTTCCACTTCTGTTCGCATTATATGAAGTGCTTGCTTTCAGGTATTCTTTAACTATTTATCGTGATACCTACTATTCACTTTATTGATGTTGCCCTGAATCTCAGCTTGAGTCAGAAGTTCTTCATACACATCTCTCTCTCTCTCTGAATTTTCAGAGGCCATCTGAAGATGAAATAAAAACTAATCAGTCTGTTTCTACAATTTCTTTTGCCTTCATAAGTTTTCTGTGACCCTCACATGAAAAAATGATAGGGAGCATAACTGTATCTACATAGAGCTGTGACAGGGGGGATCTCTACATCTGCAAAAAGATGAAAGTAAAAACATATAAAATAAGTATACCTATACTCACTCTCCAATACAAGAGTCTTATTTCAATCTAATGGTCCTAAAAGAACACACACTAGAGCTTCAGCACACAGAAAGCGGTAGACATAACTAGGTATTAGATATGTGGAGTTCTAAAACTGCAACCACCTCTTCTGAGAGGTTCAGAGGGCCTGTTATGCACATAATTTAATTTTTTGAAAGAAGTGTCAGCACTGTCTGAAGATAGAGAAATAGCATTTCTAAAAAATAAAGGCTGATGTGAATGCTGTTCATCAGTGAGACTCATATTTCAGACAGCTAAAGACAATAACGTAGCTATGGGTGCCTGTTTTCGGCTGTAAGAAAAGAGGTTATTGGGGATAAAGTAGAACATCAGTCGAAATAAATCCATCCAACACAATACACAGAGGACTGTCCAATACACACACTTGATTCTTCATTTTCCTCTGCAAGATAAAACAATTTACTGCAATCTACACACAAACAAACGGTCTGAAAGAGGAATGGATTTACCCTATTTTTTGCATTTTCCATCTTGTCATTTTTTGCTCTGTAGAGTGTGTCTTGGTAAGTGGACGCCAATAGGTCATCCAGATTTACTAGCATGGCATTAGGGTTCTTCATTGCTGTAAGAGTGTCAGCTGGAATTTGATGGTCAATTGCTTCATTAATGGCAATAACAGCAGCATGCACTGAAAAACAAACCACACCTTGCAGGTTAGTTGCAAACACAACAGCTCTAACTTTAACAAATTTAGAACTTAACTGGAAAGAAGGTCACATGAAAAGAACCTAATAATTCTTTTGTTATTGCCAAGCCTTTTATCAACACACCTTTCACTCCAGCATGGCTTTATATTCTGGACATAAATGGTGACATATTCCTAGAAATGGTGACATATTTCCTAGTACTATTTCCATCTAATAAAATCAAGGTGTCACAGCCAAGAAAAAAAAA